TCGACTGTTCGCAATATACCAACGAAATCGCGTGTAAATCACTATCGAACCGGCAGTCGCCTGGGCGATTCTGATGCAAGTTGCGCAACGTCGCGTAAAACGATTCAGAAGCGTGACCTCTTCCTCGTCCGTACCACTGTTGTTTACAGCCGGTATGAATTACATCTGTCCATTGTAATACAATCTTAGGGCTACCCTAACTATGGAAACTTGTTTAGATTTATTCCTTGAAACAAAGTATCATAATTGTAACAATAACATTTTACATATTTGTAATTTACTTTCAAACTGTTAAATCATTAAGTATAATTGTAGGGTAGTCATAGAATAGAAAAATATGCTTTTATTGTGTACAATATCGAAGGGGCTGGTAACATTTTTAGGTGTTGCTCTCGGATACTGTCAAATGGATTGGTTTCTGCCACTTTTTGTCGCCTAGATGTTGGAAAATTGGTTAGCATAGACATCACAGTGTGAACTCCGTCACCCATCTTGAATCTTGACGTGTTAGTAATTACACGAATTCATATTTTTGCGATTCGATTTTTATTACATGATGTTAGTCGTTCATTGTGGAAGTCATTCGTGAACATGTGTAAAGTGAACACTTACATTAGAAATATTGGTGCATGCCGGCGGGATTTGAACACCAGCAAAGTAGTATCGTTCGTATGAGTATATATGCTTTCGCCCACTACGAATGACTAGTACGATAGACATCATACAAAACTTACTCGCTAGCTTTGTAATTGATTAGCCAAATTCTAGTGTGTATCGATTTAAGTGGAAAATAATATAATTCTTTGAAACTTTTACCTTGTGAATTATATCAAAATTCCTTTTAGTAACTTAGACAGCCCTACATACCAGATTACCTCCATCAGAAGACTGAAGTTTTGGTGTACTTTGCGTTGGGTCTCCGATCGAATTTCAATATCTAGTTTAAAATTGATTTAATTGCATTTCTTTAATTGCTTAGAACGTCGAACTCGACGAGGAGTTCCACGAGTGAACTAACCTATAGACACAACTTACTGAGTTTCTCGCCGGATCTTCTCAGTGAGTCGCAATTCCGATCCAATGGTAGATTCTGCGAAGCACTGCTCTTGCTAGGGTCAGTGTTAGCATCACTCCGATTTGAGCCCCGTGAGCTCACGTACTAGTTAAGGTTACGCTGAAATAGCCTCTCAAGGCTATCATCAGCTTAAGTAGGAAAATAAAAGAGCCTGTGAGCTCACCTACCCGCCCTGACGTAGTTGGAATAGCCTCTTAGGCTATCACCGAATAGGTAGGGAAAAAAGATACAGTACACAGAACCGAAGCCTCTTCCTTTCCAGTGAGCCCGTTCCATAGTTATCCCCTCACAATATGAGTTCCGGTTTGGAGTGTACATAAGCAGTTAACGTTTACGCATTAGAGAAAGTGACCAACTGTATTTCGTTAATGGGCTACCGTTTTGTCTTTTTATTAAGATTTTTATCTGATAACACATTTTAAAGTAAATGCATCTTAACGTTATTTAAGAAAGATAAAAAGATACAATACTAATCTATACTAATATATAAATCCACAGTGGTTTTTACGGATGTTCCGTTATAACTACTGAACTATGCATCCGATTGACTTGAAACTTGGTATCCATGTAGAAAATACATGTACTTAATGGATAGGCTTTATATATGAATGTTGGACTCCCTAATAATAATGACAATAAATAATAATGTTAATTTTAAATGCCCAGCGAAGCGGCCGAGTACGGCTAGTCAACTTATAAATAACAACACTAGGCTCTCTGGTTTTAAGGAATGCAAAAATATATCCATAGCACGTCGAGTGCTTTAGGTCATCAGTGCCTTCCACGGCAAACCGAATTTAAATCGAAGTCCAGGCGGGGTTGCCTTTGATTTATTTTGTTTTAGTCTTTAAGGTTTCATAGAAAGAGATTCATTCTAAGCAACTTCGGATTCGTCTTTCCTAGAGTCTACTAGACATTCCGGCGACTTAGTAAGATCGAAGAAAGAAATCGACATAATAACTTTAGTGCGCCGCAGAGACCACTGATGACCACATGGCAGTCAACGTGTTAAGCATATTGGGCGACTTAAGGGTTTGTACACAAAACTGCGAATCAGCCCGACGCGAATTCGCAACACACATTTATCTGAGACACGAATTGCCGCAATGCGATTTTGTGCGGCAAGACGTGTCCCTTCCACAATTGGTGTTCAATTCCACAATCCTTTAACATCGCAGGAATGCGCGATGCAAATCAATTCGCAAGTTCTTGCGATGCGTCGTGGGAGCACGTAGATTTTTACGATGCGACGTCGCATCGCAGTTTTGTGTACAAGCCCAAAACTCGTGGTAGAATTTACTTTGAATGCATAAATATCCTCAATATCGTTGGACGTTTACATTCATACACAACATGTACATTCCACATTTTTGGGCGAGTTGGTTAACGTACGAGGTAGTTTCAGAAACAAAATTCAACTTATGTACATAGTTCTTTTTTTTTTAACATCAATAATCATGGTTAACTTTGCAGTGTGTACACAATCAAAGAACAATCAGACCATTTAGTGGAATTTAAATTTGGGATCTCGACTTTAATATGTGTTGTGTGAAGGGTACTTTCGACTTTCCAATGCGTTTTATCTACGCGACTACGAGTACAGTAAACAAACTATACTCATTATGTAGAAAAATATAATCTGTTACGTATTTAACGTGATGTTTTTGGCGTTTTGGGTTTTGGCTATAGGAGCCTATGCCTTAAGAAAGGCGTGCGAAATATCGCCTCACAGACGACTGCCGACTAAGCCCCATCGAGCTCCTCTACATTGGCTGCGGGAACCCCAGTACCTCCATGTGTGCATCATGGGTCCACCTTCGCCTGCTCCCCTGAACCCCAAAGTTATGTTGTGCGGTATCTACCACTGGGGACTTTTTTAATTTATCTAGGCTAGAGCTAGCAAATTTTTTCATACATTCATTTCCAAAAATGTTAACAACCTTGACAACTGCATGAACTTGAATGAGGTTTTCAGTGATATAAGAATTGGATTATGGGACAATTTAATTCTATTAAGCTGAAGAATAAAATAAGAACACTCTTGTTTGACATAAAGGTTTTCAAAAACTTCTCAACAAACATTGATTTTCACCTACAAAAAGGTTTCACAAAAAATTATAAAAACTTTTGTGTGGTATAAGCTTATGTAGTATAAAACTTAATAATTCACTAATGGTAAACACAATGTGCAAATCTGGAATTTGTTCCCTTTTTTTTTCGGCTAGAGGTCCGAACCTGCTACGAGGTCCCCGCGGGGTATGTGAGACTCAACGATCTGCATGGTGTTGTGAGCAGAACGCGGGCCCACCCAATAAACGACTCGCCTGCACTCTTACACCCGACGTCCGATTCCCTCCGAGGTCAGAACCCGGATGAGGTTACCGCGGTCAATACTACAACCAGACGGCGCGGCTCACCCCAAAGACGCCCAGCCGACGGAGCCTTCGAGGGGAATCGAAGGCTCTGAAACGTCGGCCGTCTCGGTACGGCAGCCCATCAGCCGCCCAGACGATGCCGCTGATGTCCCGGAATACCCCGCTGGATCAGAACCAGCCTGCCGGGTCGGGACGCGATACACTGTCGACCGGTCGGTCTATTACTCCACGGCAGCGCGCTAGAATGCTGGTAGCGCGCCGCGCGGCCTCTACCCCCTCAGGTCGCCCCTTGATCTTCACCGGGGTGGAATTTGTTCCATGCCATTTTTTTTTTTAATTATTATTTTTTATTTTCTAGTGTGAATATGGATTTTTTTAATTATGCTGATTTTGACTAAGGAAGAGTGCCACCAATTAATTTATGTGAGTCCTCTCAGTACTTTGGCTATTGAATTCTTTAAATTTGTTAAAATCACCCTAAGTCTCAAATAAATAATATACATTATTCCTTTTTCAAAGTAGGTTAAAACGATTTAGTCCAGTATGACTTTACAAAATTGAAATGTATGTCAATAATCAATATAATATGAAATCAATAACAATAAAAAACCAGACAATTTCTGAATGTCGATTTGAAGACCATGAATGATCAAGCGTTAAATTGCTCGAGTTGCATGTCCAAATGACGCAAACGGCACCAAAAGTTGTGCTCTGTTTTAAGTGCCTAAATGAATTTTTCATGTATTTTATTTTTATTTTAGAATCTTATTCTGATGTTTATGTCAAACAATACTTACAATGATGTAGCATTGAGTATTATTTTAGTTATTGTCTTTTTTATTTTCCGTATTAATCTGTTAATTTTTTTTTATTGCAGCATACGGCCGACCTAATGTTAAGTGGTCACCGTCGCTCATGGACGTCAGCAATGCCAGAGGCAGAGCCAAGCTGCTGCCTACCAAATAATTAAATGATTCAATACAACCGTATTATAAACTATTTTTGGCATTTCTTTACATTCTCCTAAATGTTAATGTTCTATTAAGTATGTCTTCTCCAAGTTAAGATCTTAGTAAAAAAAATAGCAACAACTTTTTAGATTAAGTAACAGAAAAGATTTTTTTTAATTCTTATTGTACACAAAAGAAAATACAGTAAAAACAGATTTAAAGAATGTCTAAATACTATATTCTTTAAGAATAAGATTTTTCTTTAAATATTTTTTTTTCAATATTAAAACTTAACCATTTCAATTTTGTTCACGATTTCAGAATAAAGTTAAACATCACACAATCAATACAATCTTCTTCTTACTATGTATTTATTTCGGGTAAAATCATCGTTCAACGTTTTCCAGTTCTGTGTTAAATGCAAATTCAATAAAACTTTTTAGGTCAAAGTAACATAATAAAACAAATCTAGCAGTTGTATCGAAAAAAGGATATAATAAAACGTAACAAGCTGTAACTCCTTTCTTTTTATTAATAGGAAAAAATACGAATCATTGAATTTCAAAAGCTGTTATCCTTAAATACCAAGTAGGTACTTACCGGGTAGCGGCCTTGTTTCATTCAAACTTTCAATTCAGGATGCTAACTTGTTGACACAAAATAAAAACATCACAAATTCTTTTAGTTCAACAAACAATAAAAACCTAGGTAATCTCAAAATTTATGTGTTATCTTCCGTTTCTGCTGTTGATTGTAATTTTTTTTTTTTAAAAACAAAAACTAACACAGCACGAACACTCAATCAACCCGCGGCAACGTCATTAAAAATTTAGTTTAGAGTCGACTCTTGATTCTTGTTTGATCAACAAAGTCAAATGGACAGCCGACATTCAGAGAAACATGACAATTAACAAATTTGAAACGTCAAATAGATATTTTTAAAGGGATTCTATGACCCGGTAACTAAGACCTTTAAGTCATGTCTTAATTTAATTTATATTCACAATCTTATGAAAAATGATAATATGGGAGTGAAATGAAATGAAATGAGATGATTAATGATGAAATTAAGATGATTAAGGTTGAAATATAATCTTAGTAAAATGGTGGTTATTTACTGAGATTGGTTCAGTGGACTTTTTGGACGATCCCGAGAAATTACGTCCAGCGGCTTTGTTTCATTTTCCCACATTTGTGCACTTTCACAGATATTAAACAGTTAATAAACCACTGTTATTACAAATTTAAACCTGAAGAAACTTAAATAGACAAAATAAAACAAATCACACAACTTCACTCCTGTCGATAGACAGCGTCAGTGCGGGTATCACTTGTTGCTAACGAATATCTTTTTCCTTTAATATTCTTTTTTTTTTGTATTCTGTCTTTTTATACCTGTTGTTTTATAGTTTTTGTTGCATGTTTGTGTTTCTTTGTCTGTTTTCCTTAATCAACGGTGTCAGTAAGTTGTAAATATATATTTTGTAAATAATATTTAGTAAGTAAGTCTACTGTACAGAATTATTTTTANCGACTGTGGATCCGAGGAAGGTACTGTGGATCATATATTCTTCAACTGCATTCTTAACAATAATTGTGATTCCCTATATACTTTATTAAAAAACATAATCCCCTTCCCCATCAACATGAACTTCCTATTAACTTTCCCCAGTAAAAAGGTAGTCTACTCGCTTGCATCTTTCATAGACACTAATAATATAAAATTGTAGTTCCTACTAATTGTTAAATACAAAAATTGTAAAACTAAATAGGTAACTCTATTTTCAGTTCATGCCTGTAAATGTTATGTAAATGTCCTAGCATAATTATGTTGATACCTCCACTACCCGACGTTGGCAAAATTGTACTTTAATCTAAGTAACAAAAGCCAGAAAGAAAAGAAAAAAAAAAAAAAAAAAAAAAACTTCACTCCTCGCATTCCCGTCAAAGAGTCCTATATAGATTAACGCGTCAATTCGCTTATATAATGCACTAAGGTCAATTCGGAAAGCAACTTAAACGAGCTCACTGAAAATACATTAAATTATAGTGAAGGTAACCATTTAGGTTGACGGTTCCATGGGCCAGATATTATAAAGTCATCCTGAATAGACCATACATCTTCACATAAAGTTGGTCTAGGATTGTGCCGTTCATACTTGGCAGGCCCTACCCTCTTAAAGCTGTAAGAATCCTTCAGCTATAAGTTGATGCATTAAAAAACTTGCATACATTCTATCATGAGTTACGAGTTCCGTTTTCGCTCACGCGACCCGTACTTACCATTCCCTCAGAACTTTGGAATCTGGTTCCCTTAGTTTAGCCAACAGACCACCGTGATAGGTCAGGTATATAAAATAATCACAATGGTCTGGATCTCTAACCTATTCGTAAGAACATGAAGACTACGAAACGCTTTTTTAGGACTGCAATGCCAGACGATTGCTCCCATATCAATTCCACTACCGACTTCACCCTAACCTAGCCCACGCAGCAGCCGGCAAGTGACGTAACCTTGCTCAGACACGTTTGGGTGGTTCCACCTCATTCACCCTTGTTGTCAAATAACAATTAATAGGTTCTGCACATAGTAACTAAAATACTTTTTAGCTGCGGTTTTTTTATTGACAAATTAAAAAAATATTCACTCTACATTTTGGTGATGGTCATCTGAGCTAAATTAAAAATTTTATATGTACATATCAACAGGCTAACCATGAAATTCCACAACTCTGATATTTACAGAAGTCGTAGTATAAGACGTCCGGTGCATTCGTATCTAACGATGCAAGGGTGTTCGAATCCCGCAGGCGGGTACCAATTTTTCTAATGAAATACGTACCTACATAACAAATGTTCGCGATTGACTTCCACGGTTAAGGAATAACATCGTGTAATAAAAATCAAACCCGTAAAAATTATAATTTGCGTAATTACTGGTTGGACCTCTTGTGAGTCCGCGTGGGTAGGTACCATCACCCCACCTTTTTCTACCGCGAAGCAGTAATGCGTTTCGGTTTGCAGGGTGGGGCAGCCATTGTAACTATACTGAGATCTTAGAACTTATATCTCTAGGTGGGTGGCGCACTTACGTTGTAGATGGCTATGGGCTTCAGTAGCCACTTAACCCCAGATGGGCTCACAAGCTCGTCCAACCATCTCAGTAATCTCTATATGAGTCGACTATTATCAAAGCCGGCAATCTGACTTTTGGACAATGATTGGTAAATCAGAAAAACGAATTATTGACTTTGTATTCCATTGGCAGTCACAAAACTCTTCGGAACGACATCTATATCTATACTAATATTATAAAGAGGAAAGATTTGTTTGTTTGTTTGTTTCGAATAGGCTCCGAAACTACTGGACCGATTTGAAAAATTCTTTTTCCATTAGAAGCCGACATTGTCCCTGATGAACATAGGCTACATTTTTTTTATTTTTTTTATTTTTTTTTTGTTTCATGTGTGTTTTAATGTTTCCGAAGCGAAGCGAGGGCGGGTCGCTAGTCTTAGATAAATAACAGGTTAACTATTAACCTTTATTTAATGCAGGTTTTGAACCGTATTCTTTGAAGGAGACGATTATATTCAAATCAATCTGTATTGACATATCAATAATTTTTTTTTTGTCCAAATGCACAGATTGCCACCTTTGATAATAGACGACTCATATATAAAAACGAATTGCTGTTCGTTAGTCTCGCTAAAACTCGAGAGCGGCTGGACCGATTTGGCTAATTTTGGTCTTGAATTATTCGTGGAAGACCAGAAAAGGTTTAAAAGGTACATAAATATGAAAATGCTAAAAACAACAATTTTGTTTTTCCTTTGACGTTTCCCTCGTCGGACGGATTCCTTTTGTTTGTTTTAAGTTTAGTTTTATACAAAAGTTTAGGTCTTTTATTTATCGATTGAGGCACTACGAAGTCTGCCGGGTCAGCTAGTAAAAAATAAAAAATAGTAAATATGAGAAAGTGTTTTCCGAGCGCTATGACATGTCCTTCTTCAAACGAGGCTTACGGAGAGTACTTTATGGTCATAGACCTATATAGTAGGGACACGACATATTGTTCTATACGTACAATTGCTTATATAAATAGCACCCATTTTGAAGGCATACACATAAACATATATCTATCTCGTTCTTACTCAGCACTTTAACTCGCAGGAAAACAATATAACAGTATTTCAGTGCGTACATAAAATGAAACATGAATATACGTAAATGTCTCCGTCTCCGTCTAATGAGGCCGAAAATCCGCCATGCTTAGCGCGCCAAATGTCATTGTCACGTCAGTTCGGCCGTCTGTTTTGGGTTGTACATTATTTATTGACTTTGATATCGATTTAATATGATTGCTTATATAAAATTTCTTATTTTATCATGCTTAAAACATACAAAAATAATAATTAAAACATATTTTATAGGATCTCAAGAAGGTCGATGCCCCAAAACTATTATCTATATATATTTAAATTCATTATGGAGCCCTCATCCGAAACATAGATTATACACTTAATAATATATTTGAATCCGAAATATCGGACACCATTTTTCGGTCGGAATCTATTCATCATGACACTAATCATAAATACCTCTTTAAAATATGCCATCAAAACATATTTAGACATTCTGTTTAGATATTTCGGGAAAAAGGCTACCGACAAAATCTCTTCGGAACTATTTAAATAAAATAGTTTTATTCCGCAGTGAGTAGTGTTTTACTCACTACATTTTAAATTCGTTAAATGTTTATTAATTAAGTGATTTTAGAGAGGAAGTCACAAGGAATGACGTTTGTAATTTCATTAACGAATAAATGTTCTGTAGGTGTTTTTTTTTATCAGGCAGTCCCTTGATAAGTTTAAAATTTGAATCACTCTCAAGTAATATTTCACATAATATCTAAATCACATCATCTTTGCACATAACAATATACTTAATTCCTATTAAAGTATAAATTCTACAAATACATTCATACTCAACAATATTTAAAATAAAATAAGCCAAGAACGTTTATCGATAAAACCTACTAACATTAAAATCTTCTGGGCAGCACTAAAACTGCCATGTTTTGTGGCCAGATGACGTCACAGTGGCACGAATTTTTTGTTGACGTTTCATTTCCATAGGTTTCCTACTTCAGTGTTTATGGTAGGCAGCGGCTTGGCTCTGCCCCTGGCATTGCTGACGTCCATGAGCGACGGTGACCACTTACCATCAGGTGGGCCGTATGCTCGTCTGCCTACAACAGCAAAAAAAATATGCGTTTTTGCGTAAAATCTTATTTATTTTGGAAGCCCTTTTATAGAAACATTACATACATTTTACAAATTAATGGTTTAAAATTTCAATAACCTATAAATAACTTTAAAGTAACTTCTAAGCAACGTGATTTATGAATTTTTCGGCGGCCTTGCTCCAAAAATAGTAGAACCAACCCGAACTGTAGTTGCGCCTAATTCAATCTGCAATAAAAATACAGATATTGAACACAGGTAGCGTTTTCAATATAATTAAATTCCTACTGAAACATTACTGCACTGACTGCAATAGCACCTCTTTTTGGTCTTGTGGTTGGTGAGCCTTCATATTACCAGGTGTTTCAGGTTGATTTTGAAAGTTAATAGCTCTGTTAAAGATACTATGCTTTTGGGGTTTAGATGGAGGAAAATCTATGTAGGAGTATATACAATATACAGCAAAAAATCATTGTATGATGTATATTGATGACTCAACAACTTTAAATCTTGTGAGTACCCGTCTCAAGTGAAGTATCCACAAAAACCACAGTAGGCTTTTTTTATAAATAGGTAAGTTATATTCTACAGCAACAATGAAATTTTGAAAGTTTATAGATTAACAATTACCCGTGAGGACACATAACTACAATGGTATTATAGCAACTACAAATGTACACTTGCAATAAGGCATATTATCAAGAAAATTAAATGTTTATTAACAAAACATATTACTCTAAAACCATATCTAGGTATATGGTACCTTAAATAAACTTAAATAAACTTTTTGGTGTACCTACACATGTTATTAATTTAATTTTATTATTTTTATAACCAAAATACTATAAATGAAAAGCTATGTTACTGTTGAATCTACTTTCCCATCCCAATGAAACTATTTACAACATAAAAGTGTCACAGCAGAATTGAATAATATTGTAACTCTTTTGTTAACACGTTATTTAAAGTTTTTTTATTGCTTATCTGGGTGGATGGGCCCATCTATAGTCGGATTTTTAATTAGACGAAGCCAGCTGACAGTAGCTAATGTCACTTTGTGAAATAATGTTGCTATATTTAAAGTAATAGTGATGCGTTCAGTTCTCGTTCAATCACATGAATGAACAATGAGTGTGAAGAGTTAATCATTCATTTCAAACTATACATTTATATTTTACAATAAAATTGTATTAAAGTGCTCCAATATATGTTACTAGTAGTATGTAACTACAATCAGTTTTTTTATTTTCATTACATACCTATAATTGTTATATTTTATACATCTATAATTTCAACTATATGATGTATTGGAAATATAACAGTCTTACAAGCTTCCTCGCAATGTTTTTCTTAATGTTTAAAACACTCGGTATTCAGTACAGGTAGATACTATAGGAACATAATATTTCGTCGAAAACTCGTTGGTATGTACAAAGCACGCCTAAAATACGAACCCCGTACCCGATATCGGCAATTCGGCACACCATCTATTCACTAGACAATCGAGGCAATTTCATTAATTCAGGAGTTTTTTCAATCGTTCACTTTGTCACAACACTATTTTTATTTCATCAAAACCTGACAACACAGTAAACGTCAGTTTACTTCGTCTAATAAAAAATCCGACTATAGTATTAAGTGGTTACCGGAGCCTATAAACATAACTTACAACATAGGGCCAATACATCTTGAGACATGAGTTTCAAGGCCCCACTTTTTATAGTAAAATGCTCCATCCATCTCCAACTCCATCCTTCAAAATTCCTGGTTTGAGCCCTGAGAGCTCACCTACACGTCAGGGTTACGCTGACATAGCCTCTGAAGGCTATCAGCTTAGGTAGAAAAAAAAAGAAAAACCTTCAAAATGAAACATATTACTGCTTTACATTAGAAATAGCAGGGTGGTGGTACCTTACCCATACCAAATCACAAGAGATCCTACCCCTATTAATTTATAATAGTATTCTTAGCACTATGATAAAGTAAATCAAACTAAAACTATAAATTCAACCAAGTACAAAAACTTACAGCATGTGCAAAATCCGAAGACATTCCCATTGATAACTCAACATCTTTGATATCCAAATTCAACTTCTCACACACTTCTTGCCTGCATTTTATTAGGCACAGAAAGTCAGGATTTGGTCCTTTGGTAATATCATAGTCATACTGCCCTATGGTCATCAGTCCCTGGAAATCTAGGTTTGGACAGTTTTCGAGAATGTGCTCAACAGCTTTTGTTGTTTCCAATGGTTCTAAGCCGCTTTTTGCTAAAGAAATCAGAAATGTATTTATTAAAATACCTTTTTTTTTAACTTTTAAACCTTAAATAGCATCATTAGCTTAGTGGTTAACTGCCCTGACTACTATATGTGTACAATTCCCAGGCACTCATTATCATCCATAAAGAAGGTTGATATTCTTGGCTCGGGTACTTTTTCTTTTCTTGTATGTTGTGTGTTTCCAGTAATCGTAACCCAAATCTCAAAGTGTGAAATGTTAAATTTCCATGTGTTTTCTAATGCATAGGTCAAGCTCACAGTCCACCAGGTGTTAAATGGTTACTGGAGTGCATAGTCATCACAACATGAACATTGCCACCCAAAACATGAGACATAGCTTCTGTCCCACCCTTCAAAAGGAAATGCATTACTGATTCATAATAAAGCATGTTTAGGGTACTATAATAATAGCAACTAACATTATTTGGACTTCATGCTCCGTAGTATGTATTTCATAAAAAAAAATTCGTAACCGCATGCAGGGTTCAAACACCGATGCATCGCTCGACACAAATGCACTGGATGTCTTATCCTTTAGGCCAGTGATTATCAAACTTATTTCTTTTACCGCCCCCTTTGAAAATCAATTACTTTTCAGCGCCCCCCATTTTTTATACACCCCTAAAACTTTAAAACCACAATTTCATTAATTTAATTAATAAATGTTGTATTAATTTTAGTAAATGTAGTACCACGTAGTACATAATTATGTATTTGTAGATGCTATTATTGTTTCTTCATATTATTATATGTCCGTACATTGCTACAGAGTGTATATTTACAAATTTGCAAAGTAAAAATGAATTGTTCTCATCAATATGGTTGTTTAAATTCAGAATCACCAAAATAAATTGCTAGTTCACTGTACTATTACTATGCTAATTTATTTTAATTATTAGAACGAAACTATTTTTGTTGAATATTTTTCTCATTAATATAAGATTCTCATCATAAGATAATTAAAAATTTATATTTCGACTAGTAAATAATACTACTAACAATAATAACTTATTAAACTACGAATAAGCTAAACCTGGAAGTCGTAGGGGATTTCATTTATCTGGGCTCCGTCACAGCTAGTAAGGGATCCTCCGAAAAGGACCTCAGAAGGCGAATCAGTATGGCAAAGAGAGCTATGTCCCAAATGGACCGTGTTTGGGCGGACAGAAACATCTCGAGGAATACCAAAAAGCAGCTCGTCACCTCCCTCGTCTTTTCCATTTTTCTCTACGGCGCAGAGACTTGGA